CACACACACACATCCTGCCTTTTATAGATAGAGATCCCCAAAACATCGTCGAATAACATTATTATTATTATTATTATTATTATTATTATTATTTGCTCATAGCAATTGTAGAAAATCACTGTTGTTTTTAATGTGGAACGAAATGTATTTTCATGGATTTTTTTCTATAAATTCTTTTATGATAATACTTCTGATTAAGTTTCCGCTATGGTAACTAGACTTTATGAATTTAAGCGCAGTACTTGACTGGCGGAAAGGTCTCATGGATATACAGTTGAGTGGGCTAGATGTAACCGTATGTTCTATGCTCACTGATTCTCCTCCATCACTTCTCTCTTGTGGAAATCACTTTTTATTCCATGCTTTCCAACCAACCTTAATCCTCAAAAAATTTAAATGCAATATCAATCGCTATCTGCTCTCTTCCTAATTACTCTTCTTTTGTTGTCGCTACTTAGTAATGTTTCTTCTAATTCTTCCACATACCTGTTGTATCTTAGTGGCTTTATTGCCTTGCTTGGGGTGAAATTATTATCTGCATATATAACTGTATACATATATATATATATATATATATATATATATATATATATATGTGTGTGTGTGTGTGTGTGTGTGTGTGTGTGTGTGTATAGATAGATAGATAGATAGATAGATAGATAGATAGATAGATAGATAGATAGATAGATAGAGTTCTTCCACATGAAGACACGCCCAAGACATCTAAGTGGAAATCATGTTTAATTATTGTTGAATTTTTATAACGATAAACATATATTCATTGACATCTTTCTATGTATGAATATATATATATATATGTGTGTGTGTGTGTGTGTGTGTGTGTGTGTGTTTGTGTGTGTGCGCGATAAGTTGAATAATGCCTGGCGAAACAATGTTACTCGCATAAGCAAGAACAAAAATGAATCTATATCAAATCCCATTGATTCCATGAATCACAATGAGCTGGTTATTAATAATCGATGCATTTGAAGAGGAAATCGATATTCAATCCGAGACAGTTTATCATTTTATTTTGACTCTTTATTTCTGTTATTAATTTTTGATCAGCCTGATCTCCAATCGTCTCCAGGCAACATAACGTTACTTAAGAAGTTGGGGATTTGAAAATCGATTCTGTAGAATATCTGTTTTTGTTGCAGCATTTCTGTCCTAGGTTTTAAACGATTTTACATATATAAACATAAATATGCAAATTGTATTTACAAATATATATAAAATAGTTTATCATGCATAGTTCATTGACTGCTTACAGCTGCTACTAGAAAATTGCACAAATTCATAAAACAACGTAGATACGTGACACTCTCCTTATATAGACACATCCTGTTTCCTCTCTCATACTAACGCAATTGATTCGCTTGAATTGAAGAACAAGAAATATTTTTGTGGGAAGTTGCTCCGCAGATTCTTTGTAATTTGTTTCTTTCAATTTAAAAGAAAACAAATGCTCACTAATTTAAATTTATCTAAATTTTTACAGTCATGTTTGAAGATAGTTTATTCTTCGTTTACACACGCCTAAACCGCTACAGGTGTACGTATTTCTGGACTCATTCTTCGTGCTATTTTTGGTTTTACACCGATCATTTCTACGGCCTTCTTTAACTGTACAATCCGTAAGTAAGGAAAGAGATGCCTATTTTCCGAGAAACGGTATAACAAATAACACAACAAAAAGGTTTTTGCAATCTAAACTATTCTTGAAATTGTATTGATTCTTCCCCAAATGTAAAAGACTTGTGGCCATCCAAGTTGAAACCCTGATTCCCGTACGATCACAGTATTAAAGCAACGTCGATCCTGGTCAGTAACTAGATAGGTGACCACTTGAGAATACAGGTGATGCAAGTTTGTATGCGTGGGTGATGTAAAGGATAACGGCCCGGGGCTGGAAATCAGAGAACCGAGTTCAAATTCCAATCGGGTTTGCTATATTTACCTAAGCGTAAATAAATTTTCTTCTCTCCAGCCACTGGTTGGACTTTTATCGGTAAATTATTTCTAGTTTATTATTTTCGTTGTCAGTTCTCAAGAACAAAAAAAATGTATAAATTCACTTTCATATGTTTAGGCTTTATTAAAATTCTAAGCAATTTTAATAGGAATAAACATTGCCGTGGAGAGACGGTAGTTAAAATAATAGCGGCGTCAAGGGAAAAACCTTTTTTTTTTTTTTTTTTTTGACATACCGCAGGGACGAAAGTTCAAGAGTGCGGCGATTTTCTACCGAGTGTAGTATCCATTCAATCCGTGACGCTGCAAATTTGCGCAAAATTGGTCATGACAAACTCATTTAGAATTTGAACTCGGCCGGCCAATTTACTTTTCCTAGTCGCTAACAGTTTTACTACTTCCACATCCATCATCATCTTGCGGCCTCAGCCGAGATTGAACTCACTACACCTTTCCAGTATTCCTTATCTGTCATAACTAATACTTTGATTGGTGTAGTTCATAATCTTGTCAAATAGCTGAATTCTTGATGCTTCGCTAGGGCTATCAAGGGTGTTTTTATCGTGACACCAACACTAAATGGATTGCCAACCAAGGCTCAGAGAGACTCCATTCACCCTCCGCAGGTTTTGAATTCAGAGTTTTCCTTCTCCTAGACCAGTTGCCATCTAAGGTTATAGAACCCAGTCTGTCCTGCTATTTACCCATAGTTGGAGGGAGAAGAAGAGGATTCACACCTTTCCCAAGGGTATTAGCACGTAAGGGAATGTAATGGATTCGACTGGAATTCGAACTCGGCTCTCCGATTCCTCAATCCAAGCCGCTATCCATTACTCCACCGTGCCTCCACATGAAGACTTAGTAATCCATATCGGCTGTTCCTTTAATCAAATAGTTGTTTCTGTGGTCTATATCTTTCGAATTTGTCCATAAATAAAACAAATTATTTTGCAGTTTATACAGGGTACAGGAGAAATATATCTCACAGATACATCCCAGAAATACCTCGTGTATAATGGTAAGCCATTAGTAACAATGTTGTATTCATCTATCTGATGTCTTCGTATTATGTGGGAAATATTTCTGGGAGGTATTGTTGTGGATTCCGGGATGAAATCCGGTCTCCAATGAATGACAAACGCAGGAATGAAATATAGCAAATAAATGTATTTACACAATAATACAATTGGTAATACGGTTAGTAGATCCAGAAACGCGGTTATAATATATATATATATATATATATATATATATATATATATATATATATATATATATATATATATATATATATATATATAATCTGGTAATTTCAGATTCGAAGTAGGACTTCCTTAGAGTCTACGTGCTTGTAACAGTGACTTCTACAAACGGTTACCTCACACTATTACTCTACCTCCAACTCAATCACAATCTCTGCTCTCAATCTCTGACTGACTCTGGGTATTTAACGGCAGCAGTCCAAGTACATACTGGTCGAGTCCACTTGTATGAAAAAGGGGTGGACCCCATAATAGGTATTTCCACCTCAATCTGTAGAGCCGATCCCTGATGTTAAAGAAGAATGTGCAATGTTAATGGTCATTACCTGGCATCCTGGCTTCAATCACTTTCCCACCGCTTCACTGTGCCTTTTCTAAAAATACTTTCATGATAATTGTTATGATAAACTTTGCTCCATGCTACGTAGACTTTATAAATTTAAGCGCAGTACTAGGTTGGCAACTAGGTCCCAATATTTAACGGTTTGATTGGTTAGATATAACCGTAACTTCTATACTAACAGTTTATTTTCTCGCACTTACCGCTTGTGGAACTCTCTTACGGCTTCTTGCTTTCCAGCCAATATTGATCTTAAAAAGTTTAAATGCTATGTCAATCGTTATCAACAGTCTTTCTTGATTCCTCTTCTTTTATTTTCTCGTTCCTTAATAAAGATTTTTTTTTGTATTTTTTCACACTCAGTAACCTCTTGAGTCTTAGTGGTTTTATTACCTTGAAATGAAATGATTTTTTTTTTAAATCTCCAAAACATCGATATCATTAATATGAATAGATATATTTTCAGTGTAAATATATCTTGATACTTTTTTCCAACGTGGGTTGTTAAATACCGATTTTATTGGAAAAAATTGACTTGCTTAATAAAATCTAACGTTTTGCAGAAGCATATGTGCTTTCAATATGTATTTCAAATGTAAAAAACGAAAATCCTTCAGCGTTTCCAAATCACAATCGTCCTGATCGCCTATCATTTTTTTTTTGTTTTTGTTTTTTTTCGTGACACGCTTTCAGATCGCTATTAAACCAATCATTGCAATAACTACAATATTTGTTTTCATGCTATCAAATAAATATTTCTACTTTCATTTGTTTGCCTGCATTCAAAACATCCCATAGTCAACACCGCCGGAAGGAAAGTAGCTTATCTTTTGTAAGAGTTTATAGAAAGGAGAAAGTTGAAAAATAAATCAAAAAATGAAAACATTATAATCGATTTTATGTCAGCGGTCAGTGAGATTTTCCAAAAAAAAAAAAAAAAAAAGAAAAGAAAAAAAGTTTCCCGCATTTACAAACGGTATATTGACCGGGCAAGTTAAGCTCAAAATATTTTATGTATTTTTTTGTATTTGCTGTTTATCAAACATAGTGTATAAATATATACTGGCCTCTGTAATGCATTCTGAACCATTGTATAAAGAGTTTTTAGGCCTTGAGCCATAATGTCAACATGTGTAGACAAGTGTATAAAGAGTGAAAAATTAGACGCATAAACACAAATTTATATAAGAGAAAAGTATGTACACACATGCATACAGATAGATAGATAGATAGATAGATAGATAGATAGATAGATAGATAGGTAGATAGATGGAAGACAGACAGATAGATAGATAGATAGAAGACAGATAGATAGGTAAATATATAGATAGAAGATAGATAGAAGACAGACAGACAGATAGATAGTTAGATAGATAGATAGATAGATAGATAGATAGAAGACAGACAAATAGATAGAAAGATAGTTAGATAGATAGAAGACAGATAGATAGGTAAATATATAGATAGAAGATAGATAGATAGATAGATAGAAGACAGACAGACAGATAGATATTTAGATAGATAGATAGATAGATAGATAGAAGACAGATAGATAGATAGATAGATAGATAGATAGATAGATAGATAGATAGATAGATGAAAGACAGACAGATAGATAGATAGATAGATAGATAGATAGATAGATTGATAGATAGATAGAAGACAGATAGATAGATAGATAGAAGACAGATAGATAGGTAAATATATAGATAGAAGATAGATAGAAGACAGACAGACAGATAGATAGTTAGATAGATAGATAGATAGATAGATAGATAGATAGATAGATAGAAGACAGACAAATAGATAGAAAGATAGTTAGATAGATAGAAGACAGATAGATAGGTAAATATATAGATAGAAGATAGATAGATAGATAGAAGACAGACAGACAGATAGATATTTAGATAGATAGATAGATAGATAGATAGATAGATAGATAGATAGATAGATAGATAGATAAGAAGACAGACAGACAGATAGATAGATAGATAGATAGATAGATAGATAGATAGATAGATAGATAGATAATGTATATCTATATGTCTGTATCTATATCTATCTAACTGGCCGAAATAATAGAAGCACACTTCAGTTCAAAAAGTGATTTCAACTATAGAGAAATGGGATGCAGTTTGGTTCATGTTTGATACGCCATACTTTATTAGTCGGACTTTTCAATTCATTGTTTGCAGATCGCGACAGCTATTAGGGAGATGTGATTAAATATACATTAATGATTAAAAAAAACTTATTCAGTATTATTATTATTTAGTTAATAAGCATTATAACAGCACAAATGGCTATATTGTGGAAAAAGGAATTTTCGACAATATACGACATTCTTGTACATGTAGTTTTTAATAATATTATACATTAATTACTATTTTTTAATTAATACCTATTTGTGCTCAGTTGTTGAAATTAATAGCTATCTACTTATGTGTTAAAATTTTGGAATAATGCCATAATAAAAATTTAATTTTTTCTCTCTGATAGATATCGCGATCTGTTAATAAAATCAAAAAAGTAGGGATGGCAACACACACAGCAAAATGACGGTTATTCACGTTCCTGGTACGAAACTGAAGTTAGCATAGATACATTCGCGGAAGTACCAACAAGAAAATCATGTTTCTTTTAAGAGAGATAAATACAGTCTTGTCCCGCCAGGTTGGCTCAGAGTTTTACTTTGGCTCAAAAAGTGGTTTCCGTGATAAAAAATGTATTCTGGTTCGATTCTGGTCTTTTAATTATTAGGAATTCACTGTTCAGGCCGGTTCTAATTAAATTCACTGTATAATAAAAAAAATTTTTTTAAAAATCAGGAATAGCAACTCAAAACACGTGTACTCACTAAAAATATTTATACCAATAAGAAATGTATATACACACACACACACACACACACACACACACACACATATATATATATATATATATATATATATATATATATATATATATATATATATATATATATATATATATATATATATAATATAAAAGGCTCAAAAGCTAAATATTCTATGGTTATAATTTTTACATTGAATCGTGATTACGATTCCAATGTAATAAATTATAACCACGGAATATTAATGTTTGAGCCTTTTATATTATATTCTTACTCTGTCCTGGATATTGAGATCTACCTGTATTCTATCATCTTGGAAATTTATAAATATATATAATGGACTCTCCCGTCGGTTTCGACGTATGAGGATCTGACAGCTTATTGATTCAGTTATGAAATTTTGTGCGATAATCTTAAGTGGCATTTAAGATAGATATATATATTGGTCACTAATATTATATATATATATATATATATAGTCATCCACAGACAGACTGTTTCGCTGTATCACAGCTCTTCAGTCCGGTTGCCTCTAGCTAGGATCGAAACCCGGTTGAATTGTCGTTACTCGGAGATTCTACCACAAAGCCGTCGGCGCACGGCAGGGTGAAGGTGAATTTTAGCGTATCTATTTTTTCTAGATAAACACACAGTAACTGAGGGGACTCGATTCGCTTGCCAGTCTCGCTATAGTAGCCGTAATAGCCATGGTTTACAAACCCACACATCCTCCTTCAGAGAACTCAAGTGAAATAAATTTTACAGGACCCTCTCTCTCTCTCTCTCTCTCTCTCTCTCTCTCTATATATATATATATATATATATATATATATATATATATATATATATATATATATATATATATATGTACGAGTTCTGATCAAAAGAATCAGGGCTGTTGCTATATTAACGCAGAGTGAAGTCGGTTGGCACAGATTAACTTTGAACGGCTAACTGGAAATTATTCAAAGAAACCCAGACATTGGCAGGTAACCGAGACATATGGATGGATCTGCTCAGGTGCTCAGTTGCGCGGCGACCCTACGGTTACATTCGATGAACATCCATAATTTAACTATTTAGGGTGCTGTCCGCCGAGACAACAGGTCATGATGACTGCGGGAATAGCTGTTTTAGAACATGAAATAAAGAATATGAGACTCTAGGACTTTGCCATCCAGAGCAATCATTCAATCAAGAATCCAAGAAAAGTAGGATCTCGTAGACTGTGCATGTTGTTATGCCAGCGGATTACACAGGGAAGAAGATAAAGGTGGCAATTTTGGAGAAAAAAAAAAACAGAATCTTAGAGAATTTTTGACAATTTAAAACACGAGAGTATGGCATTAACATTTGGTTTTGAAATTGTCTCTAATTTGAGGAATAATTGAATTTCCCAAGATCGCGACGCAGCTGCGGTCAGCTAAGGTCGTCGGAAAGATAATGTAGGCTTAAGGAGACTTGATGTCGGCTCGTCAACATCAATAATGAGCAGTGTGAATAACATCTAAACTGAATATTCTAATTCATGAAATACAGCAACAAGAATACTATCATTTTCAGTGCGAGTAATGACCTGAAGTATTTAATTTAAACGACTTTTTTTTTCATGACCAGATATCCAAATTTATTGATGAAAAGTTGGTTTTGTGAACAGGCAGAAAAATATAGATATATACTGTGATTAGCTCGGCATAGTATAAACTAAGAAACAGGATGATTGTATTGTTTAAACCCTTTAAGCGACGTGAGTTTATCGGGGCTGGGAAGTTGAATTCTGCGGCCAGTTGAAACTATTTTATCAAACAAGCAGGCAACATACACACTTATTTGGCCTATCCTTCCTCCTGCTCCTAACGTAATTGATGTTTTTTAAAGAAAAGAAAGAAAGGAAGGAAAGAAGGAAGAAAGAAAGAAAGAAAGAAAGAAAGATGAAAAGTAAAAGGAAGGCAAGACGAAAGAAAAAACCGCATTAAGAAAGAAAGAAAGTTGCAAGTAAAAGGAAGGCAAGGCAAAATAAAAACGAATTAAAATGAAATTCAATGGCGGCAAGAAAAGGCGAAAAGTAACAGGCCAGCAAGAAAGAAAGAAAGAAAGAAAGAAAGAAAGAAAGAAAGAAAGAAAGAAAGAAAAAAAAGAAAGAAAGATGAAAAGTTAGAGGTAGGCAAGGCGAAAGAAAAAACAGCATTAAGAAAGAAAGTTGAAAGTAAAAGGGTAGCAAGGGAAAAGAAAAAACGAATTGAAAAGAAAGACAATGGCGGCAAGAAAAGTCAAAAAGTAACAGGCCAACAAGAAGAAAGAAAGAAAGAAAGAAAGAAAGAAAGAAAGAAAGAAAGAAAGAAAGAAAGAAAGATGAAAAGTAAAAGGAAGGCAAGGCGAAAGAAAAACGAATTAAAACGAAAGACAATGTCGGCAAGAAAAGGCGAAAAGTAACAGGCCAACAAGAAAAAAGAAAGAAAGAAAGAAAGAAAGAAAGAAAGAAAGATGAAAAGTAAAAGGAAGGCAAGGCGAAAGAAAAACGAATTAAAACGAAAGACAATGGCGGCAAGAAAAAGCGAAAAGTAACAGGCAAACAAGAAGAAAGAAAGAAAGAAAGAAAGAAAGAAAGAAAGAAAGAAAGAAAGGTGAAAAGTAAAAGGAAGGCAAGGCGAACGAAAAATGAATTAAAACGAAAGACAATGGCGCCAAGAAAAGGCGAAAAGTAACATGCCAACAAGAAGAAAGAAAAAAGAAAGAAAATATATATAAAAATAGCAAGAACATAACCCAAAACAAGTAAATGTATGGATGTACAGAAGAGTAAACATGTAAAGTCAGAATAGAGTGGGATAGAGCGGTGGAAAGACTGAATAGTTATGAAATAGAAAAAAGATGAAAAAAAAAAAAAAAAATGAGAAGATCGATCTGAAGAGACCATTAAGGTTATCGCCATTGTAATGAGAAAGCCGAATCCTCAATCATAGCCGATGTCACTTGGGTAGCGTGCTAGTGACAAACTTTCTCACGGCCAGATGTCAAAGAAAATGAAAACGAAAAGAGAAGAAAAAAAAAGTGAAAGAAATGAAGGAAGATATAATTTCTCTTGGTCAAATGTAAAAGAGAGGAAAAACACTTTTATGTGAGTGGGCTTGAGAGTAATGGCGTTGGTTTGGTTATTTTTCAAAAAGGGATGAAGTGAATGAAGAAGAAATATTAAAGAACAATTTCTAGGATAAAAGGGAGAAAAAACGAAGGGTTTTATTAAGAGAAATTGACATTAGATAGATAGATAGATAGATAGATAGATAGATAGATAGATAGATAATTGAATAGAATGAGGTAAATAGACATAAATGAAAATCTCTATCTATAAAATGCAGGATGTGTGTGTGTGTGTGTGTAACGAATGCACTGCCGCAATTTTCGACGGATTTGCACCAAAATTTACATGCACATGCTCCAAGTTAGCAGCAAGGCCAAGACCGACTTTACATTTCCCAACTCCCATCGATAGTGGAAATAATCGATTTTTTCATGCTTCTACGGCAGTTTTCATGTAGTTTGCGACCATTTTCTACTGGCCAGAGTGAGTGCCTATAGCTGGCTGCCACGAATAGGCAGGAAGATTCTGTTGGCCAGCGTGAGAGCCAACAGCTGACTGACACGAATGTTAACTAGCATGCTAGCAAGCAAAAAAAAAAAAATCGATAGCTGCATTTGTCGAAAGTGAGAAAATTTTAATCTGCATGGCACTTTACTCCAATTGACCCATTCGCTTGCTTAAACTCAACATTGATTCTGATTCCGCAGAACTGGGTTGGGTGTGAAAAAGTATTTGTTGTTAACATTCTTTTTTCATTCGGTTTTTCCAGTTACAAGTCCTTTTTTAAAGCTGATCGGTTTGTGTTCATTTTGTTTAGTTCTTTTTTCGTAACAGATTTAATGTTTAGTATAGAGCTTAGAAAAAATTCGCAGTGTGAGATAGGCAAGAAGTAAGGCATGTAGCAACATCAGCACGGCAAAGGTCACTCCTTTAAAGGCAAGGAAGGGCAAAATATTTTAAGTCAAGTGATAGCGATTGCTGTATAAGTCGTACGATTTTTGAATCAAGCACGGGCAACGCCGGGCCATGCTGCTAGTAGATAGATAAATATTAACAGATTGACCTTCGATAGATAGATAGATAGATAGATAGATAGATAGATAGATAGATAGATAGATAGATAACGGAACATAATGAGGTAAATAAATAGATATTAAGAGACTGGAGATAGATAGATAGATAGATAGATAGATAGATAGATAGATAGATAGATAGATAGATAGGGAGAGAGATGAACAGAATGAAGTAGATAGATTTTTATAATCATTTCACTCAGAACAAGGCAATAAAGCAACTAAGACACAAAGAGTTCCTGAGTGTGAAAAGAATAAGAATATTTAAAAGAAACAGACATCAAGAAGACTGTATGTAACGACTGATATTACAGTTAAATTCTTGAAGATCATAGTTAGCTGGAAAGCAAGAAGCCGGAAGAGAAATCCACAGCGAGAAGAAACTGTTAGAATAGACTTTACGGTTACATCTAGCCAATTCAACCTGATGAGACTTTTTTGCCAATATAGTACTGCACTTAAATCGATAAAGTCTAGGTGCCATAGAGCAGAGTTCATCATCAATTAACACTTTCACTGCTACTCATTTGCCCAGTGCTGCCACCATCCGGCCAGCCATTTTTAAAGAAAATGCCAAATTTCAATCTACGTATTTTATTACACAGAAAACTGGCACCAGTGTGTTTTACAGCATTCCATTTTCATGGATATACCTGGGAATGACTTACCAAATCAGTAATGGGTATACACATGATATCTTTTGAAGCATTGTCCTTTGTGGAGTGGGACTTCACACTTTTTGCAGAAGTACCTTGTTTTTGAGCGTTTTCCAGCCTTTTTGCAGACTCTGCATGGCTTGGAAGGGTACCTTTTCTTATTGGTTGGTGGAATTTCTACCAAGTCATGAGCTTTCATTCCACCAACCAGGCGATTGGCAGGATCAATTTTAGGTGCCCTTGGACATACGGTCACGGGCGCTGGGAACATCCGCATGCTAGCCGCATTTTCGTCAGGAATATTTTCAAATTAGATACGAAACTACCATGACGTAGAGAAAAATCGAGACTGACTAATAATTTGCATGATAGAACAGTTAGAATTTCCCGTATTTTACGATAGATGGCGCAACGGGACCCTCATTATGCAAAAAAAAAACGTAGGTTTCCGTACTTAGCCAGCTGGAGCAAGATAAGAAAAACGAAGATCTCCGTAGTTAGCAGCGGAAGTGTTAACATGAAAGTAGTTCTAATAAATATACAGGGAAGTTACGTTACGGAGTTGGAAAAGTAACTGAAGCCGAGATGCCAGGTCAGAACCAATAACATTTCAAATTTTTCTTTGGATTTTATCAAGAATCTCTAAATCTATAACAGGAGCAGTGAACCATATGTGGAAGAAATTATCGAAGCATATACGAATGGTAGACCTGTAAATATGTAAGATAGATTCTGGTAAGAAAACCTGCCTTGCAGTACACATTGAACCAATTCTCCTAACAGCAGACCTAGCTAGTGATTCAATATAATATTTCCACTTCATGTCAGTTGAGAACGTTAGCCCGGGAAGAGGCAATGAGTCACACTCCCGGAGAATAGCATCAGCCTCGCTAATGGAAGTCAGAAAGTTGCTTTCGTGCTGGGGGTAGTCTTGGGGAGACGGTCTTGATTCACTGATATGTTGCTTTCTTCTTTCTGTCATGTTCCGCCCGGGTGATAGCTGGTTGGTTTCTTCGGAGGTAAAATGACAACATCAACAACAGGGATTTTTAAACGTATGTTTTATTAACACGTCGACGTGTACATTTTCTAACTAGCAAATGGGAGCTCTCTATCACTCCCCCACTGGGGAGCAAGTTCCCCGTGACACGAAATAACCACGTCTAATGTTTATGACGTCTAAAACTTAACTCAATGAAAACACGTTCTAAATCTAACATTTCTACGTTCGGCTCAGCCAATCAAAGTCAACATCCTTATTTTGTCAACCAGCTGACCCTAAGGTCAACCTCAGAAGGTCTGACCCAAATACACTACTTCTAAAAAATAATAGTCTGAAACTATTATTTAACAGTCTCTCATATAATTAATAGAAAACTGTTTTGTTTTTGACGCGTTAAAATCAACAAGCGATTCCTTTACTTAATTAATAGCAGATTATAGGTCTTTTTTTTAGATTAGCTACCATTTTGAGCTTATCGAACTGATCAGATTTACTATTAAGATAGGTGTAAATAGTGGTCATCTGCAGAGATACTTAGTTGAGAACAGATTCCATCGGTAATGTCACTGATGAAAATTAGGGACAACGTAAGTCCAAGAATAGAGCCCTGGGGTGGGGAGTCATCTGCATTAATGGAAAAACTACAAGGGTAGCTGTTTGTGACAATTTTCATCTTGCGATTTGATAAGAAAGACTGAATCAGTTTAAAAATTCGTCCAGAGATACCATAATGAAAGGTATGAATTCTCTTCTTCGCCCCTCTCCCCCAAGTTATGGGTAAATAGCAGGACAAACTTTGGATGGCAACTGATCTACCGCAGAAAGAAATGGCAATCGACTGCAGGGAAAAAATCTGCATCGTCAGTCATGTATCGAAAGATACGTGATCGCCTAAGCGTGTATAATAATTGAGTCATGCGAAACCCTTCCAGATACCCATAGCAAGCCCGAGCTTCATCATTCTGATGTAAATCTTGATAGACTCTTTCAGCAACAGTTGTTAATAAATTAGAAATTGGCCTCGAGAAGCGAAAGTCATATTTCATATCTGAAAGAAGAGCCTGCGATGTGAGATGTTTAACAATTTCAGATTAACAGATTGACGTTAAATTTGATAGACAAACAGATAGATAGATAGATAGATAGATAGATAGATAGATAGATAGATAGATAGATAGATATGAACAGGCAGGGATAGAACGAACAGTTTTTGATAGATAGATAGATAGATAGATAGATAGATAGATAGATAGATAGATATGCAGGAAACAGATTGAATAGTAATTCAATCTGTTTTTCTGCCTGTTTATCTATCTATCTATCAATCTATCTATCAAAAACTGTTCGTTCTATCCCTGTCTGTTCATATCTATCTATCTATCTATCTTTCTATCTATCTATCTATCTATCAAATTTAACGTCAGTTTCAAACCTGCTTATGCTAATCTCGTTGAATATAATAAACTGCAAGCCATAATATTCAATGGCTTGCTGTTTACTGTATTTAAGAAGATAGTTTAAGAATAGTTGTCAGGTTTAACATTAAGACACTCTCCCCATATAATGCAGACATACATGTGGTAATTTAATTCCTTCTATCTGAGGTACTTGCGTATTTTCTCTGAAACAATTCCCTGTTGCAAGCTATGTTTTCCAGGTGTTCGAGCATACGAAAAAAGGCATTTAATGATAATTTTCAAGGTTGGTTGATTTAATTTCGAATTTTTTTATGGGGCACTTAGTGAGGCTCAAACTCGTAACTCAGTCGTAAAGGTCACTGTAATATAACAACAACTGGTAGAAACATATGAAGCTTTATTTTACTAATTTAGCTTTAGCGTTGAAAAACGTTTATTTTATTGTGATGGATGGTTATAAGCGACTGGGGAGATGAGGTGCGCTTATTTTTTTTTTCGCAGTCACCTATAATAGAATTAGTATTAGTCGATAGTTCTTCTGCCCTGTTTCTACTTGAAAATAGTCGGCGTTCGTGCGTTCACCACATCATTAGATAAAAAGTTTCACCTGTTTATCTGGTTTGGTTCGGAATGGTTTGGTCCGTAATGGTTTGGCTTGGTTTGGTTTGGTTCGTAATGGTTTGGCTTGGGTCGGAATGGTTTGGCTTGGTTTGGTTCGTAATGCTTTGACTTGGTTTGGTTCGTAATGGTTTGGTTAGGAATGGTTTGGTTTGGTTTGGTTCGGAATGTTTTGGCTTAGTTTGGTTTGGTTCGGAATGGTTTGGTTTGGTTTAGTTTACAGCATCTCAACCTCAAAGGGTTATTTAATGCCGACAAAATTTTTATTGTTCGTAATATTTTTTTTTTTTTCAAAAATCTCTTTCTGGTAATATTTTTCCTTCAAATATATATCACAAGTAATATTTTTTTTCCAAAAATTGTATTGCTGGTAATATTTTTTCTCAAAAATGTATTGCTGGTAATATTTTTTTTTTTCAAAAATGTATTTCTGGTAATCATTTTTTACAAAGTATTTCTGGTATTAAAACCGATTATTATACTTTCATAGTGTTTTGACCCCAGTTTGCGGGTTAACTATTTGCCCATAACTGGGACCCTAACAGGTGCTACCACCCTGGGTCAGGGTGGAACTGGGAACATCAACAATTAAGAGGTGGTTTCACGGTCGTCAAAACCTCCTGATCAGAGGCTTTGCTGCTGGACGTAGTTTATCGTCTTACCCAGGACGCGGATGTACATTATCGTCTTACCCAGGACGCTGCGGTTCGGAATGAGAAGTCGAAGAAGCGCAAATACGCTTGGGAAAGGTATGAACTCTTCTCTTTTCTTACAAGTTCTGGATTCAATAGTAGGTTTTGTTTGTTTAACGGCATATCAACTCCTTATGGGTCATTTAATGCCGAAAGTTTATTTTCTTGCAAATTTTTCTTTTTTCCAAAAAATGTATTGCTGTTAATTTTTTTTATTGTATTTTTATATTATGTTTTGACCTCAGTTTGGGGGTGTTTACTATTTGCCCAAAGTTGAGGCCCTAACAGGTGCTGCCACCCTGGGGCAGGGTGGACCTGTGAACAGCAGCAATTAAGAACAGAAGCTCCTCAAAACCTCCCAATCAGAACCCTTTTTGTCGGATGTTGTTTATTCAGGACGATTCAATAGACGGATTTGTATAAACAAGAATCATTTTTTTTCTAAACAAATGAATTAATCTAATATTCACCCTAATAAAATAAAATTATTCTTACAATCCCAAAATATGTCCTGGTTTTAAATAACGCATAAAACGTTGAAAAAAAAATATATATATATATATATATATATATATATATATATATATATATATATATATATATGTGTGTGTGTGTGTGTGTGTGTGTGTGTGTGTGTGTGTGCGTGTGTGTGTGTATTTAGGCAGCAATTCT